GGAACCTCTGACCTAAGGAAACTGAAGGTTCATTATAGTGTTCACAACAGCCTGCCATCTTCACACCCAATTTATCCTAAATAGCGAGTGGTTAGCATTCCTGTTTCGTACTCGGGAGATATATGGTTCATAGCGCAGTGACCGGCTATTATGAGTTGTTTTTTTTTGTGGTTTTCCAAAGTGACGCCAGAAAATTCTAAGATATTACCTTACATGAGGACACGGCCGCTTCTTTCTACATTCATTTAAATTCATTATTCATTAATCGCCACATCATGCGATGGTGTAGAGTCTTAGCTTACTAATAGCGTCGTTAAAGGAACTATTAAATAAATAATTAATTATCACTTTGGTTGATTAATACCATCAGGTTAAGAAGAAGTTAGTCGAACCACGCCGCGTTCTCAGCCTGTGTGGGTGGGTTCAGAGAGATACGATATTTAATTTCGAGCAACACGCACTGTTGAGCGCCGACAATGGGCAGTTCTAAGCGAAAAGTCTCTCTCTCTCTCTCTCACTGTCAGCTACAATTACAGTGTCATGGAGGTTGAGACGGAGCGGAGTACACCGTCTATATTTCTCCGTTCCAAGGAGGTTGTTATTTCCTGGTTTAAAATACTGCAGACCTGTAACACGCGTACCTATAATCTGTGCAGTATGTCTACATATAATCCTATTCACACTGAAAATAATGGATTTCTTTGTCTTTTATAACGTGATACATCTCAATATTACATTTACTTCACTTCCGTTGTTTTAATACCCTATCTTCTTTCCCAGTCTACGTCAATTTCTGTATATTTCTACGTCTCTTCCAAATTTCGCAGTAGTCCATCAAATTACTTTGAACGTGTAGACTTGTCAGTAGATGCCAACGTTTGGGATAAACATCTTCAGAGCTGAAGATCTGTTTCTCCGAAACTCCGGAGGTCTCCACGGCGCCAGAAGAATATTATCAAGTGACTGTATGATGTGTCGACAGAAATGTAAATAATGTTGCAAGGTTCGAATTTCAATAGTTCTACTCGCCATCCTGACTAATTTACGGTTGTTTTCCTCAGTCTCTCCAGACGAGGCTGCAGATTACAAACACCGACCTTGAAAATGTCTAATCCACGTGCCGGTATGCGATCCTACTTGTGACACGACTGTTCCAAGGTAAAAGCTCAGGAGATAATGCAACTTAATCTCAAAGATTCTATATATAAATAACATCATTCATCTGAAGAGGCCCTTGTCCACCACAAAACATAATTATGTGTTTTACTCGAAGCGACAGTCTTCGTACACAGTTCGATGTTATGTCTGTAAGCACGTTTAAAGTCCAAATACTAACCTATTGCTTACTATAAACTGCTTTGTCAGACATTACAATACAGAATAATCGGGTCTATTCGCAAAATATGATTAGCGTCACCAAATGAAGGATTGGGTATGTACGAGTACGTGTAGAAAAATGAGGAATTCCTACAAAATTTTACTCTGAAAAAAAAAATCTTAGCACATGCTCTTATGAACACGATAATAAACATTCTGGTTACATAAAAGGCAGGGAATGTCTTAATCACCTGAGATATTATTAGATATTCAAGGACTTTGCTCCGTGTAGTTAGCAACGAATGTTAATTGTCCTCTGCTTCTTCTGACAACTTTGTCAATTAAAATTTTAAGCGTTCTTTACGATTTATCCATCGTTATTTCCCGTGTGAATATAATTTTTATTACAACTTCATTTCTTCATATCTACTACTGGGTCGTTTAAAATCCTTTAATTACCCAAATCCAGCAGCCAATTTCCTTCCGTCACTAGCAACTCTAACACAAAAAATTGTTTGTTCCGCCAAGTTTACTTTCAATATTTCCTTAAACTTTCAGAAATACGCAACAACCTATATTAAAGAGACTTCGATTATCTTAATTTGGAATATAATTTTATAAATTTCTAAGCCTGGCCACAAAGCGCATACACGAACTGAAAAACCCTGACAACTTCAAATATTAGCTGTCAGCAACTGCACAAGTACGGGGCAAATAAATAAGTCAAATATATGACCAGAGCTATTAGGTAATAGGATTCGTCACAGATATCCCGTATAGGGTGTAACAAAATAATTGTATCCATATTTTGTCTCTTATGATCCACGAATGAAACTGTGGCGTTGACTGACAATTGACAAGCGTCCTTCCGCTCTGCTGAGCTGTGGCTGTGTGCCATACCGCACATCTTCTTCATTCACCTTGGTCCTGCGGAGGACCGCCCTCGACATTCCACGGGTGAAGGAAGACTCCACCCGTCCACACCGCCTGCACAAAGGTTATCAGCTTACGGACTTCACGGGTGGTTCATCGGAACACGGCCTATGAGATGCAACAGGCAATCCAATGTTTGCATTATGGGTATGAAGTCAGAAGTTTTAGAAGTGACATTCATGATGGACAGAATGAAATCACATATGCCATGCCCTTTTTCCTGTGCAGCCGCCAACAGAACAGGCTAAAATAATGACAAGATTATATAGACTAATCGTAATCAAAGACATGGGAGGAGAAGGACCCACGCCTCGGCAAATGTCTGATCGTCGTTCATCCCGCGGTAGATAATTCTTCTTTTTATAAGCGCGTAGCTCAGTTTGTGTTGTCATTACCCACAACGACACATAAAGTGTCAGACAGACGTTGTCAGTATTCGACACCCGATGGTGGAGGCAGGAAGGACCTCTCAAACGTTGGTAAACTTCAATCAGACTACACGGCGCTACAATCCAGAAGACAGCCAACTTCCAAATTACGTAAATGCGGGGAACTTATCAGCCATGTGAGGAACTATGAACTTTAAAAAATAACTACTAACATACAAGAATTTGTCTGGAGGGACAGAAAAAAAACACGGGTATCCAAAATTCTGTGCGCCAAAAACACATCTAACGAAAGGAATGCCAACCGCTCGCTTTTATAAAATTCATAAACGATTCTTATTTGTGTAGTGCAGGGGCTCTCAACCTTTTCAGTCTGGGGGCCACATTTCCCTTTCATCATCAACTCGACGAATGAAACATAATTCATTAAAATGTTGTTAAATTAGACATACTTTTCCAAACAGCTTCACATATTACTAAACAACCTTCCCTATTAAAACCAGTCATTAGCGAGTTATTTTACAGCTCCTGCTTAAGTAATCTTTGGAATTTTAATTATAATTTCTGTTGTTACGATTCCCATGGACTGCGTCCTATTTCTTGATACAACGTTCTTAATTACGCTGTGAAAAAGGTTCCACGTAACTGTACACGCCTACTACAAAATGCTGACAATATTTATTTTTATTTTGTAGTGTTCTGTCTGAGGACAGGTCCATATGAACAGGATCCTTCCATCCTTTTCTCGGACTGGGACCTGTTCATATACGTTCTTGGCAGATGATCCAGAAGTGGTTTGCCATTGCCTTCTTCTGTGTGTGAATGGAGTAATTGTGGGGATGCCACGGAGGAAAACTCCGTGTTGCCTAGACCAAGGCCTTGCCCAACACAAGTTATAAAGTCGGGCACCGCCGGGAATCGAACCCGAGACCCCAGGATAACAAGGATAGCGTTCTGACCGCTAGACCACCGTGGCGAAAATCGGGCTTATTATCATCATTAAATAATTGTTTAATAATTTTTGATTTTTATACGAGCTGACTTGCAGATCAGAATTCGCCACTGTAGATAATATTAAAGTGGAGTAGGGTATGAGCATGCGAACTGATTCCAGGGAAAGTCCGGTGGCGAGCTATTTCAAACACGAAAAATGGATAATTCCGGTTTTGCAAAAGGCAGGGAAAATCTTTTACCAGCTGAGCGACTGTCAGCTCGTCAAGATAGGCTTCTCCGTGGCGTAAAAGTCTGCACCATCACGCACATAACCCACAGGTTCAGTGCACCGGAGTCGAACCGGAACTCCAACTTCCTCGTTACATTATTTTTCTTTCTTTCTGTTCAAACTGCGGTCCGCGAGCTCCAGCTGGACGGGTACTTGTGTCGAGGTCATGCAACGCCCGCTGTGATGATCAGAATTGTAGCCTAATCGAGGTGACAATGATTCAATGAGCTTCATGTCCTCTCCTGTCGCAGAGACTTTTGGTACGAACAAAAACGGCCGTAGGTCGTAAACTTTTCATACTTGTCTCGTATGACAAATTTACAGGTCAAAACTTACGTAAATGAAATCGGCGTGTTTTGAAACTATACATTGTGTTGATGTAGCACAAGGATTTAAACGTATTGAGAATGGATGAGACGGTAATGAATTTGGCACATATTTAACTATTCGGTTAAAAATAATCCTTCAGGTAAAGAAGCAGGTCTCATAGACTGATTGAGCCCAAAACAACTGAAACGGCCATTACCACAGTTTGAGAAACAGCCTTCAATTTCCTGTCATCTGTTAATAACAAGCGATTGTTGTTAAACATTGCTACTCGTTAGCCATGTTTTGATAGCGATTAACATTCAAACAACCTCATTCCATTGTTGACGACTCGTTCTAAAAATACACGCCACTTACTGTTCGTGCCTGACCTATATTAGGAAAACGGTTACATGGATCGTCGATGTTGGTTGGAAATATTTCTGCTTCTTAGTAGCATAAACAGTGTTAGAAGCCACGAGAAACGACCTACTTAATAGTGTTCGTTCACTGACCTACAAAGGTTGCTACTACGATTCAATTCTGTACGAACATCTGTTTCTAATTGTTTAACGAAGCATTCCGGAACATCGATCAGAATAATCAGACGTAAGTTTCAAGTTTACCATTCGCTGAACTTTATAAAAAGTGGTTATTTGCTCCAAATTGAACCAAACGCGATCCTCTGAAACGTCGCTCATTATCTACGACACTATAAACCACAAAATACTTCGTGCTCGTCGCCGTGAGAACCTCAGAGTTGACGAACCTAAGCAAATGTTTTTTTTTTTTTGTGTCTTGAAACTTAAAATTAAAGTAACAATTGTTATACTTGCCTCCTTATCTTCAATCAGTGTTGCCACACGACCAGGCTGTAAAACCAAAAAAGATTAATGATAAGTTATCAGAGCATATGTCGTTTTATTGTTAAGACCAGGTCCTTGTGTACGTAGACGCAGCTTCTGAGCTGATCAGGCATTTACCACGTGGCGACCGCTCAAAACATACGCACAGCATGTCGGGAAACCTGAGAGCCACTGGGTGAGAACTGCACAGGGGAACAATGATTTACGTAGCAATAAATCAAAGCATATTGTGATGATGATCACTGATTTAGCTAATCAGGAGAGATTATTGTCCTTTTAAGATGGCAGATCAGAATCTCGAGGGGGAAACAAAATATAAAGGAATAAACGAGGAAAGTTTGAGGAGATCAGAAAATACAAGAAATGACAATTAAAGAAACAAAGAAAACAAATAAGGATAAAACTTAAAGAGACAGACACAAGTCAATGTTTTAATATTGTACTACTTGTTAATGGTAACTGAAATAGCTTTCAGGGTGATGAAATTTAGGATATTAGAGGCGAAAAATGTAGTGGCGTGGGAGATGTAAGAAATACATACAAATTCTGGTCGCAAAATTTGAAAGGCTACAAATGAAAAATTGTGAGGTGTGTGTGTGTGTGTACATGGAAGGATAATATTAATATATATCAGTATCTTAAATAAATTTTGTGCGAGGCTGCAAAATGGATTAATATGGCTCAGGACATGTTGAAGTGGTAATGAACCTTCGGGTTCCGTAAAAGGCGAGGATTTTGGAACTAGCTGAGCGACTACTGGCTTCTAAAGAAAGACCATGCTCCAAGGAGTTTTTCGTGTACATAACACGAAGGCATATACGAGGGAAAGCAAAATTGTTTAACGTGCCCCAATATGAAAACTTGCATGTACTATACAGTTGCATCTCTCGAGTCGGAGGTAAGACAATTATCTGCATCGCATTTGCGAGTAACTGTGAGACATGAGGACGTACGCCTAGTGCAATAGTGCCAAGGCCGCTGTCTGCTCTGTCGTTTACAGAACAAAGCCTCAGGACAGTGATTCAAAAAGTTGAAACTCCTACAAGAATAGAAACCTGCATGCAATATTCTGCATCTCGGGTACTGCACTTCAATAAAAAAAGGTACACGTCACACCGCACAAGACAAATGCCACGTTTACATCACCGAATAATTAATTTGTAACATTTAAATGTACCGTAGTCCAAGTTCGGACGCAATTCAACTTTCCCCCCCTTTCGTCTAAATAGCATTTAAGAATTCAGTCCGTACCGCAAAGAAAACACAACCCTTCGCCATTACAAAGATGAACTCGTTAATGCTGCCTGAATAAATAATCGCTGTTTACTGCAGGGCTACTGATTATGGCTCATATAATTACCATAAAATTATTACACCTGGTCTTTAAAGTTTCAAATAAATCGAGAGCTTTAAAACAACAATAATTAAATGATGTAATACTGACGACTTTATCTCCGGGAAATAAAGTATGGAGTGTGAAGCCAACCACCCACAACCATCTAGTTTTAGGTAACAGTAAGATGGCAATAATAACACAGAAAGAGATTAAAGTGTCAGTATAATGACAACCAATCATCTATTTCACTTCCTCTCAACATATTTCTCTACCATCTACCTTAATGTTATCCTTCCATACATATCTATGTCATTCAAGTGATCTCTTTACTTTAGGGCTCACAACTGAAGGTTTGTTTGTTCAGTCACGCATAAAACAATAAAAATAAATATATCGCGTGACGTATAATTACATTCATACGTGTCTCTAAATGCCCACTCATATACTCCAATTTTTCTTCGAGGTCCAAAGTACAAAGTCCTTGTCTGTCTGATACAGAAACGAAGACTCTGAACTGAAAACCTACACGCTAAAAATATAAACATTTAAAACTTTGACAACAATTTTCGGAAGGTCGCATGTGGTCCCCTACTTGTCTAGCCTCTGTTTCTTAAAATTTCAAAAAACAAAATGAATAAGGAAGTGAACCAGGTTTTTCTACGAAACGATCAGTAAAACAGGTCTATTTATTATTCCTGCTTCCGAGATTAAAGGACTCTTTGCATCAAAATAAGTGGAAAGTAGGTCATTATACGAGTATCTGCGTCATAGCATTCTAAATTTTTCGAGAACAGAACACAGCCGGTAAGTTTACTAGCTTCTTGAACGATCTCAGAATTCGTACTAACAGTCTGATGTAAGAGACGTTCCTGGGCTTTTGGGGGGAAAAGGGGGGGGTGTTTGCTCAGGACCACTGTGATGGCAGACGTCTCATTAGCGGTGTTCCACTTAAGGATACCAGTGCCAGAGAGAAATAATTGACAAATAACTAAACGGATATACGGACGGATGGATGGATGGAAAGAAACGTGAATTATTAGAAGGATAGTAAGACAAACAGATAGTTCACAGACAGATACATAGCTAATTGACTGATTAACAGATAACTGATAGATACACAGATACATAGATATCGAATCCGTGGATGGATGTGAGAAAACAGGCAGATGTTGGAAATATGAAATTCATACAGAATTCCTTTGGGAAAAATCTCTTGTAAAACGATAAATCCAACCCTTTACATAAAACAACCTTCGAGTTCTTGCAATTGACGGAGACACCATTCCTCCTTCTCAGCATAGGTTAAAAGACAGACAGACAGACAAACAGAAAGAACAGTAAATGATATTTGTGTAGTTACGAGCAAGGCGGAAATTACGTAATTGGAACTCCCCTCATTCGGCCAAATTTGTCTTCATGATATGACCTTTCCGTAATGATCTCCTTCCATGTAACAGAAATTCTGTGCTAACGCTCAGCAAATGCTTACGAAACTTGACAGGAAAGAGTTCATAAAAATCTCTTGTATTTGGAAAGAAACGCTGTTATGGCCACATTCACATAACAGCATGAAAATAATCAAAAACGGCTGAACAGATTTTCATTAAATCTGATTATAGGAATTTTACCAGAACATCGAAAGACAATGACGAGTATTTTACATGAAGACCTGAATGCTTTTTTTGAGCTCCTAAGTGGCTGCGAGAGAAAAATCTCTTTTTTACCATGGATACTATTATTATATTGCTTAAAATTCTAAGATCAAGTTCTGAGAAATACAACAGAACTGTTGCGTAATGCGTACATATCCTAACTTATCCTATGGATTCAGCATCGTTATATGCAAGGATCAAAATGGATGATAAAAATTACGAAAGACGTTCAGCTCAGACGACAAATTTCTTGTTTGTCATTTGCATTTTCCTTCCAAATCCTTCCCTATTCATAATTCATAACAATAGTCTCATATAATCCCGTTAGATGACATAACGTCGTTAAATTTGCAACCAATGTCAAAGCCATAAATCTATTTTTAGTTGTTACATCGGACAGACAGAAATGGCGAAGCTAATATGCAAATGTTTGTTACGAACGCGCCTAAAAGAATCAGATAAGAAAACAGGAAATGATGTAATAAAGAAACAAGGAATGAACAACGAACTGTATGATAAGGAAGGAAATAAAGAGCAAAGATTTCTGTAAATCCCTCGACACTGAGGTAACAGCTTAATTTAAAACAGACCGCAACATCTGGTCTTCCGAAAACGTATCAGACTTGCAAAACGGTAACAGCTACCCCAGATTTGCCACTATTTCCATGACAATGAAAATACGTAAGCAACTACACACATAAATAAAGGCATCGAGAATGAGATGTTTGTTTGTTTGTTTCGTATCAACACATCGCTCTGACGTGTACGTTCTGTCTGGAGGTTAAGGAAGCATACGCCTACTCATAACACTTCTTACGTAAGAAACAGGAATGTTTTATGCCGCTGAGATGTATGATGAATTTTAAATAATCTGATTTGAATGAAGAAATTATTTCCCGCTGAATGAAAAGACGTCTATTTGCGTTAGAGGTGTACACTCCACCTCAATATGAATGCACACACGTGTCAGGCCCGGCATGTAACCTTGGGTAAAGTGCCAACAGTGTTCAGTGTTTGACCAAAAAGTTTTGTTTTTCGTTTGTCGACGCACGTTGTTGCTATGGACACAGCTCCGAACTTGGCGCGTTCTGGCCTTGTGTCAGAAGTGATAAACACGTCAATTTTAAAGATAAGTCCACGAGGAGCGAAATCCTTTTAATTGATTTGTTTTAGTCATTTATTAAAAGGAAAAGGAATTATTATTAAATATGACACAATTCACACAAGGGGTTGTGAGCTGTCAAGGCCCGGACATTCGTCCTTGTCTGTGGCGACTTAACACGTCAGGTGGATAAAACAGCCTTCTGTACAACTGCACTACATTTGGTGATATCTGAGATTCTCAAGGGGACGAATATGGAGACGAATGTCGTCTTCTGACGCGCAGAAAAGGACCCTGTGTGTGTGTGTGTGTGTGTGTGTGTGTGTGTGTGTGTGTGTGTGTGTGTGTGTGTGTGTGTGTGTGTGTGTGTGTGTGTGTGTATATATGTATATATGTATATATATAAATAAATTTCGAATTTTTTTTATTCTTTTACATTCCACAAAAAGAATTCTATAGATAGTTGCATGTCCTGAACACAGCACACAACCAATCAGAACTATATATTAAGCGTTGGTACCGTTTTAGTACACAAGAAATTTTGCGAAAATAATGAAAACACCAGCCAGGATTCAAATGGAATCCGACTTTGACACATTACCGTTGTGTCCACCGGCCAGGTGAAGAGGAATCAAACTGACGCCCGTGGCGCTTTGTTAAGGTAACGGGACAGGACGCCAGGTACCGACCCCGGGTAGCCGAAAATTCAACTTCTCACGTTATACTCGTTCTGTACAATATTTTGCACAAAACAAAAAAAAAATGACTGATGTCTGTAAATGTGTTCGCTTCACATTGTAATTTAAACAAAACTGAGTACTGGATATTTACATTACAAATGTCCACACAAATTCTATTTTCATCCGTATCTGTCTGAGTGAAGTTTAAAATAAACTTTATCATTTCATACTTAAAACAAGTTAGGAAATGTAAGCCACTCTCAAGTTACGTGAATCATAATCATGGTGCAGTATATTTTTTTTTCCCGGAATGCTTTTGCCAGAATTTTTTATGTTATAAAAAACAAAACATTTATGATAAGTATGGATAGTAAATAAATAAATTCCTATTTCAAAACCACGAAATCGAACACAGTAAATAGACCGAGTAGCTAAGCGAACTGAAAAGTCAGCATTGCAGGATGCAATCCTAAGTCTAGACAACCAAGTTCACAGCCTCAAAACCTAGATTAATTCCAATGTCATCCTCTCACGCTGTTCCAAATCGTCGCTTTTCAAGAGGTTTCCCCACAAAAATTCTGTACGAGTTTCTTGATTCCAGCATTCCATCTACACCTCTGACCAACCTTTGTCTACGTGTGTTTATTATTTATTCTAATAATACTAGATGATTTGTACAAATCATAAAATCCTTTAAGTCATTACTTTTAAGTTTACTTATCTTCTGTCCTCAAATATTGATTTTTACACACATCTAATGTATTGCTTTCTTTCAAGTTCAGAAGCCACGTTCAGGAACCATGTAAGGTAACAAAGTAACATTATTATTTAAACACACCAATATTTATAAACTTTAAGTTTGAATACCTTACGTTAGGAATATCTGAAAAAAAAATTATAAATTATTTATATATGCAAGTTTGAATAGCTTACGTTAGGAATATCTGGAAAAAAAATTATAAATTATTTATATATGTACCTTATTTTCAGTTCCTCTGTGCGTTGTATTTCCTTGCCAGAATTTTCTTGAAAACCCGCGAACGAATCCAGTAACTGACTTGTCAAATTCAAAGCCAGGATTCCAGCATAAAGATCCATAACCAAATATCCAGAGCCCGGAAGTGGAGGTCACACTAGATTCTTCCTGTTCTTGTTCCATGCCGATTGTCTTCTCGTTCTTCGGTCAGTAAACTGGACCACGAGGAAACGACACGCACAAACAGCTTAGAGGAATGAACTAAGCTAAGCTAAGAATACAACATCGAACCGAGCCGTGTGTTCTGTGAACACTTCTCACGCATCTGTTGGCAAGCACAGCGAAGGACCGAGCACTGTTACTATAAAGAAAACGTAAAACCGAATCATGACTCTTACGTGGTATTGTCACTTCCAACTTGCAGCCTCTTTGACGGAACAAATGAGTCGCTCCCGAACGCGGTGAGGACAAAGGAGATTTCTTTTCCAGCAGACGATGTGTGAGTCCAGCCAACAACAGCGCGGCGCGGGAAATAGAGCTTGAATGTGACTGGCTGACGTCAGGCTCAGCTGAGAGCAGTCAATGACAACTCAGCTGATGTAACACACACCGACGATTTCTAGCCTACTCAACGTCAACAAACGGGTGTCCCTAGACGTGGTATTATGCGTGACGCAGAGCAAAGCCGCGTGACGTATTAGGGCGTAATGAAATAATTCTTTATTCAGATTTCAATATTTTCACCAGGGATTATATTTATATTACATATTTATTTATGTTGTTCTCAGTGTATAACTCACAATGCTATGACTGCTAATATTATAGGCTAAACAATGCTTGCGATCGCCTTCAAATATAGATTCTGTACTTACGACATAGAAATCTGATTTAAAACATTTCACACAAACTCGAAAGACTTTTTTGGAAACCGACAAAACAATAAGAATTTAAAAAAATCTTGTGTTTAACTTCATGGCTTGTTTACTGAGTTCAACAATACAAGAAATTTACGTGTTCCGTTTTAAATTCGTCAGTACATTTTTGTGTATGAATATTCTTCTAATTGACGACATACATTTACGTTTCGCTAGGTTAGCAACATCCAAAATGATAACACGGTAAAACATAAATTGAAAAATGGGGCGTACATTTTTAATGCGTTAACAATCGACACCATATTAAATTTATGTAAATTATGTTGTGGACTCACCCCTCCGGAACGCTGGCATTTCGAAGTCTCTTTAGTTTTTCTCCAAAACTAGGTACAATGGATTCTGAAATCAAACAAGTAAAATCATAATATACCCTTGTAGAGCACAGACTCCTTATGTTCAAACAAAATTGTACCTAATCCATTAATCATATTAAATATATGTATCGTACAGGACTATAATATAAAATATTTAGGCTACGCATTTGTAGAAGATATTTTAAAATAATTTTAGATTTAAAATATGGTATGCTTCTTTGGCCGACTGGTGGTTTAGCGGTCAGAACACTGGCCTTGTAATCCTGGGGTCTCGGGTTCGATTCCCGGCGGTGCCCGAATTTATAACTTGTGTTGGGCAAGGCCGTGGTCTAGGCAACACGGAGTTTTCCTCCGTGGCATCCCAACAATTACTCCATTCACACACAGAAGAAGGCAATGGCAAACCACTTCTGGATCATCTGCCAAGAACGTATATGAACAGGTCTCAGTCCGAGAAAAGAATGGAAGGATCCTGTTCATATGGACCTGTCGTCAGACAGAACACTAAATAAATAAATAAATATGCTTCTTTGCAGAGACTTAAAATAGATCCTTCTATTGGACTCAACATAGTAGGCATTTTCACCTGAAGATGGGAACAATCAGTTCCCGAACCGTCGTGGATTCATTTTTAGAATATTAGACTACAGACAAAGTCCTTAGACGTAGCAGTACTACATGTAATCCAACAGGATATAAAATAATATTTCTGAAAATAATTTGAAAATAATCAGGGACATAAATTATCGATAACTGGTGGCACTATGTCAGAAACTTCAACACAAAACACTTAAAACATTTGTGATAAAGAACATCAGTTGTCAACTCTTTCTCGTTATGTAGGCCGCGCTCTATTTGCAGGTGATAAGTTAGAAGAACCGTTCTTATCCTAAAAGCCCTACTGACTTTAATCTGAAAATTTAGAACACAAAGAACAAAGATTCTGAGATAAAAACTTCACAGCCTACAATATTATTGCACTGATATTGAAACAAATGTGGAAGACGTATTTCACTGTACTACGTAGTTTTCTGGTCCGCGCTGTAAAACCGTGTTTCAGCGCTGAAGATGGAGGCAATGTGATCTTCCGAAACGTTGCAACATACCAGAAATTTCACACGGCATCACAACCCAGAAGTACAACATCGACACAGTCACCGTCCAGAGAACCACAAATCTCAAAATTAGATTTCAATGTAAGCTCCGAATATCAAATTTCATCGAAATCGATTCTGCATTGTGTCTATTGGGTTGCAGCGTCTCCCTGACTGTGGAAGAATATTCCTTTCACGTTTTTCGACTGAAATTTCGTGGCAGATTTCAATATTTAACATCTCCTATGACAGCGAACACATTGCTGCACAATATGAACAAGGATGCATAACGCTATGACTCACACTGAACAGATATCGATAAATGTTCGCTTATCTGTTTGTTAACTGACGATCGTCTATATCTGAAGGTAGTTGAAAGAAAGAAAAACGCTGTCTTGTCTAGATATGAGTAGGATGAACGAACTTTCTGTTTGTTGTTTGTCATTAACAAGGCGAAGTGGCAATTATATAATCAACTTTAACATTTGGAAACTAAGCATTTCACCTCTGAAGGGTGTTTACGAGTCTGTGTGATTCTCAAAACAAGCTGCGACTATTTTCGTAAACAGCATTAGCTAAGAGATTTTCGTAATAAATTGAGTTGTTTTCTTTTGGGCATGAATTAAATTTTTAAAAGTAATTGCAATGAACTTCGCGTTTCAGACGGTTAAGTAGTCAGCCACATTTTTAGACTTTTCATATCCATTAACGAACTGAGAAAAAGAGAAAATGTCAACGCTTTGCATTAATCCTGATTTATCTTTGTATTAATTTAATCGTGGATAATTAAATGCGGGTGGACACATAATATGCAAGACAGGACTAAGACTTGAGTTATAAAGACAACAACATCCTTCTGGGATTGAACCGTTTATTCTTGCAGAACTTTACCGACGTTTCGGGAGACTTACTGCCTGTATCATCGATCAGTTTACACCTAATTACACGGCGGAACCGCCCCGGAAGGCTGTCATGTACATACTCGACGCCGTCAGAACCTGAAATCTCACGAACTGAGCTACGTTAGTAGAGCAAAATATTTATCGTTAAGTGACATAACGAATCACTGAGTTCGAGTTTCAGCGAAGTGATAAATCGCTTATCAGTAAGAAGTGAAGGCTACAGCAAGCTCAAGAAATGCAACTCCAAGGTCTAGGAAAGGTCGGGGAACGCTGTAATGGCCTCTGGGCGAATGAGTGAGTTGCCTGCCTGCCACATTCACAAGGATGACTCTCGGTTTCTACAAGCTTCTACTTGTTTATGTAAGTCTCTTACCTGCACCACGAAACATGTGGACACGGTGATTAAACCGGAATTTTTGACTTGGCACAACTGTGGGCATTAACCCTAACAAATCTGAAGGGACTTCTGTCTGGATGACACATTTGGGGATAAAACACTGCGACTTTCAGGCTTAGGTTCGTGTCTGAAGAGACAGTAAGTAATATGCAACAAATGCACGAATGTGAACATCAGCTTTCAAAATACCTGACCCAGATTTGGTTACGACATTATACAATTTCCAGAATGGTTTCTTAAATAAAGGGAAATAAATTAATAATACCACGATTCTTAATGACTAAATCCAGTCGCTTTCACACACACTCACTGTCCACTAATTTATTTGTTTTTGAACTGCATGGTTCAACCGAATACGGTCATCATCAGATTCGAATGTAGGTTAATCTGATTCAACAACATTAAATATAAATGTCCTCTCGAAGGTAAATATTCTTGATATTTTAACATCACTAAATTATTTTTCTTACAAAGGGTATACATAATAAAAATTAAAAAGGCGAAGGTAATCTGGTACCCCGTTCACATCGATTAGGCCAAGAACATACAACAGTCTTGGTGAAGTGAAAAGAGCACCAGAATTATATTTTCAAAAGGACTTCCATTTTCTGTTCCAAGAATTATTATTTCTGTCTGCTGACGTTTTGAAACGGAAGACTTCAAAGGCCTACTTTGTTATCAGCTGCAAGCAGAACTTCAGACATCCGCTTCTTTTATCGCTTGCAATGACGTAACGCACCAAAACACAGACACACGCGCATGTACCAAGAGACAAGACGAAGAAGGGAATTTTCAGATAATTAGAACGGTTTCTTATCTGAACATTTGCGTAGGAGGGTAACATCGGCGCAGGTGAACCACTGGACAGTCGCGAAACGCACTAAAGTTTCTAACCCAAAATATAGGCTGGAACAGGTATTAAAGGAAAAACTGAATCTGTCAGAAGATAAAAACAGAAAATAAGGAAGAAACGAAAAGTATGAAAGGAAAAAAGGCATAGTAAATAAGGATGAGGGGGAGGGACGAAAGAAGGGGTAGAAGGAGTAAGGAAGAGGGGGGGTACGTTCGCAGTAAATTATCTGACATTTCAGATGCCACATGACCACAGGGTCACAGCGTGTTCAATCGCATGACGATAGATCAAACCAGTCATGTCCTGTTTGGCTTAGTCGTACGCAGACCTCCCGCGAGATGCGCTTCTTATCTGCGCGTCTGATCGCGTCGCTTATAAACCAATCCGAAATATCTCTGCAGAACACAAGAATGCGGTTTGGGGCGGCTGGGCTGGTATCATGGCCCGCTTCGTTCAATGAAAACAAACAAGTCCAAACGTTTCGCGTGTTCTGTCTTGAAAATAGGTTAAGAGTGCGTTCAGAAATCCTGCCTTGTTTTACAGCACACAGGTGTTATAATTATTAATAAAAGTAAACTTGTCTTTTATTTTATTTCCAATATTCTTTACTTTTTGTTTCTCAAAATAATTATTATATTTGTTTACCGTCAAATCACAATAAAATAGTAAGTTAAGATAATTAAAATGATTAAAATATCATCTTATGTTCCATATCGAGCATTCGATTTATATCGGAACATTCACAACATGTTTCGGTTTATCAATCCGTCATTAGGTGTAAATTATAAACTTTTAAACTCAAATTACAATTATTTATAGTTTTTACAATTTTATAATTTTATCATCTTTCTCAGTATATTTTATGGAAGTTGTGTCTAGATATTATTAATATAACATTATTGTTGAGGTGGTGTTATTGATGTTTATACCAGTCATATATGAATAGCAATCGGTTCAGATGTGTTCAGAGGAGAGATCCAGAAGTGTTACCATGTCGTTTTAAACCTTTAACAGTCCCTTTACATTTATAAACGTTTCTTTTTCGGGTTAGTAAATTATTGTTTTGTGATCAGGCCTTGTCTGTGTGTGCCCACATATTTCATCTGCATCTCCGGGAAATTAAATTTCTGATTCGTAAAGAAAATATAAAACTTGTTTCAACACTGACCACTCTTTTTTAGAACCCCAATATTCATTACGGCCCTCCAATATGCCTATACTGAAGCAAATAAATCCAGTCCACAACCACGCACCATATTTCCCTAATATCCATCGTAATATTATCAAAAAATGTGTGGTATTCTAGGTTGGGGTTTTGAAAATTAAAGTCAGGCAAACACAAGTACGCACATATACAGAATGTGCCCATTTCAGGATATGAAAAATCAACTTTCCGCAGTAAACACATGCGAAAGATGGGAACATTAATGAGGACAGTCATTAGTCATCACCCTGATGGAGGAAACAGTAAGCACTTCTGAAACGTCGGTATTTTTGAACCAACGAACAAGACGCGACATCGGTATACCATGTTACTACTACAAGTCAGCAATTTTTGACCAATTCAGTTGAGAAAGCATCATTAAAAGCAAACCTAAACGTGCATTTTTGATTCGAACATACGTTAACATTAGCATCTGAAGCAATGTTCGAAAAGTTTTTCAAATACTAACTCCCACGTAAGAAAGGTTTTCTTAAAAAACGATAGTTGCTCGCTTTTTGTTGAGTCCATCAAAGGATCGCGTCTAGATACAAACGAATCCAGTCTACGCCTTCATA